GATTTGATTTTTCAAAGATTCTTTGGTTCAACCAACCAATATTTGATTACACTCAAGATTTTGTCAACGTCTGTACTTTGAAATTAACTGAGTACATATTAAGGCTCTTGTCCTTTTATCTGTAAACTTAGAAATTCGCGAACTTCATAGTTTGGTTGCATATTTTTAAATTTTTAAACTTTTACATTTCTTTATTTTTTTTAATTTGAAAATAGTTTTAGTTTTACTTTCATTCTCATTATATATTTGTTGCGTCTTCTTTGCATTTCAAGTAACGTCATAGGTCGACCCTACTTGATTAAGTTTATTTTTCCAAAAATGTTCTATGACTACGGAAATAAGGATTTGTAGATATACTTTAAGTGAATATATGGACTATCTTCTAGATTAGTGTTTAATGAGAGTGAGACTTGGTAAGAGTGTAATTATTTTTTTTAAGAAATAAGATTGTGAAGAATTCTGTTCAGCAGAGTATTCAAAATCCTGCTTCAAATAGTTTTCAATTTGAATTAAGTAAGAAATTAAGTGTCCTGTAATATTTACACAAACCTTGGCTAATTGATTTCGTTTTTTAAAGTGCTCGGCACATGATAATTCAGTTGTAAATAACACTCTTTGATATAAATATCGATTTTAAAGTTTAATTGTTTTAAATGTCTATTCTCGTCAGTGGTTGGACGTTCATATTTTCTAAATACTATTATTATTGATTAATTATTATGTTATATATCGAAGCAGGTAATAAATAAGTAATCGAGAATTATGTTCCCCAATAAATGAGTCTTTTTTTTTAAATGATAAGTACAATTCCTTTCAAAATATTTGGAAATTAATATTAATAATTTTACTTACAGAGAACATTAATATTTTTAGAATTTATAAATAATTACATGAGTATAAATTATTTTAAAATAATAGTAATGTTCTTATCTAGGTTGTATGATTAAAACACTAAGTTACTGAATTAAGTGAATTACTTTTTTAATTGAATTTTTAATTATTACTATAATATAATATATAGTGTTATTAGTATAATGCAACTTATAAGTTTCTGTCTTATATACATACTACTTCCCTCCGCTATTTTGACTGAAACTTCTTAATCCAACAAAATTTTATATAGTTAAACAGCGAGACGGAGGAGATATTTTTAATTATCGGAAATCTGTTTTACAGTTCTTCAAGGTGACTTTTTTATGTTGATGAATTTAATTTCTGTTTTATTCTAAATTATTAAAAATCAAGCAATTCACAGCATTGAGTATTGCATTGAGTATTCAATTGAGAATGAGGAATATTTTATATATGTATAAAGATTATAACAGGGGTTTACAAAATTTTATACAAATCAACAATTAATCTTTATGGTTTGAAAATAAAAATACAATTGATGAATAATAAATAATAAATTTGAAATATCGGTTTAGTTCAATATTCCAAGCAAATTCGTGTTTTCACTGGCAAAATATAGTATAAAGCTTCTAAATTGTCAAAATATAGCATTATAAAAGACTTTCAAAATCATATTCTTTAATAAGAAACTTAAATGATTCTATATACAATTGTTCTCAATTCACAATGAGTCGATTGTCATTGGAGACTATCAGTAGTAATTACTGATTATTATTAAGAAAAGTGATGGTTCAATATCTGGTCGATATAATCCTTATAAAGATATTTACACCTCATGAGAAAAAGGGAATGTATAGGAGTTTACATTGATTTTGCCAAAACTTTAATATGAGTTGTGGTCATTGAGAGTTCACTAACAAAAGTTTTCATATTATTAAATTGTATTTAAATGATTATAAAAAACAATTAAGTAAATTTTTGATATAGTTTTATTTGCTCATTAATTAAAAATCGATAAACAAAATTAAACACTTAAAAAGTTTTTCTTCAACAAAAATCTAAACAAATAGATAGTATAGAGATGTAACAAAGCTGGAATCAGTTTAAATTAATTTAAATGTCTATTATATGTTGACCACATTTATTACATATCTAATTCGATCTTTTGAAAATAATGAAGAACAATAAACGTTCATATAAAATATATTATATCTTATATATCTTATTTAGCAATAAGATATAATCATATGATTTTTATGTTCTGGTTTGTATTCAAACTTGTGAAGTCAAGCTGATAAAAAGCAGGCTCCCGATGTTTGCTTTGTTGTATTATAATATAACATTTGTAGATTATTATCAGGAGTATATATAAAATAAAACTGCACGAAGCCGTCATGTGAAGCGGAGCACAACTACCAATAAATCTTTTGAACTGTGAAATTTAAACAAATCGAAGTAAAATATCTATATTGATCAAAACTATTTTTAATAAGAGCTGTTATATTTTGAATAGATCAAATTACAATAAATATTTTTTTTTTTTTTATTTAAACATACATTTATTTATTGCATCTTCTTTTAAAATGAGACTAACAATAAGTTGTAAAATCTCATAACTAATTACATAATGTTACAAATTTTTATTTTAATTATACATTGTATAAAATAAA